TTTTTTGGCTTGATAACCTTTTTGTATTTGTTTTTGGTGGAGAAGCAGACTCATCAAGTTGTAGTTTTGGTGCACTTTCAAACCGTTGTAATAATGGTTTATTACCATTATTTGGTAGTGTCCTTTTTTTTGTTGAACTAACGCTTTCTTGAATTGTTGTTTCTTGCTTTATTTGTACATTTCTATTGACTGGTTGTGGACATACATCATCCGTTGGTCCATATATTTCTTTAGCAGCTTCAAATCCAATATTTTTTGGTTTGTCAACAACGGTTGAGCTTCTGATATTTAGTCTAGGTAATGAAGTACTTTTTCTATTAATTCTAGATCCATAAAAATATTCAGGATGGTGTTTATCTGATGACACTTCTTTGATATGAGATTCTTTTTCTTCTTCTTTGATAGTAGTTGGACTCATCTCATGAGAGGGTTGATTTGGTTCAGCTTTTAATAGTACTTTCTTAAGTCCTTTCTTTTCTTGTTCATTTAGGTTGTCAGTCGTGTTTTGTTGTTTTTCTTCAATTTCTTCTTCTTGGCTTTTCTTGTCACTTAAAGCAAATAAAGAAAATTTTCTTCTTCTCTTTTTCTTAGGAACTTCATCATGTTTTTCTTGTGTTACAGAAGATATTTCTTTGGTTTGTAATTGAGGTTGTGTTGGGCTTTGAGAAGAAAGTCGTTTTTGAAAAGGACTAATAACAGGGAGTGAGCCACTAGGAAGAACTGGCGTAGATGTTTCTTTTGTTGTGTTATGTCTTTTCTTTCTTTTTTTATCTGATTCTAAACTTTCGTCTTTAGATGTTACAGTCATCCCTCGTGATTTTTGAATAAAAATAGCACAACTTGTATTAAAAGTATAAAGAGATCGAATAGTAAGTAATTCTCGTTCAAAAAATTTCATTAACTGAATAACCAATTTGTTTCTTAAAAAGTCATATAATCCTTGTGTTCCTTGCATGTGATGGTCCATTGGTTTAAACAAATTTTGGCCTATATAAAATAGTTGTAATAAACGATTTACAGTAAATGGTGTAATAGTTCTAATATAAGTTTGTCTAAATTCATCTGACACTTCATTGATGATATAGAAAAAACAAAGAAATAATGCTCTGAGAGCAAATAACTGATTTGGGTTTGAAGTTCCATTTGTGTTAAAAAATACTTCATATGACCATTCTTTAATAACATCAAACTCATCTATCATTAATGATATAAGTGATGAAAATTCTTCTGCTGCAACACTTCTATATTCTTGATAAGCAACACCAATATCAAATTTTTGAATAAGTTCTAATAAACATAATGATGCCATTATTCTAATATCATTTTTATGATAAAATATTAAATGAGTTATACTGTAAACGAAGAAAGTAGCAAGAAATTTGCTTTGACAAAATGTATCATTTAATGTAGTAATATCATTGTTATGAATAGAAGGACAATTAATTTCTATCATCAATGGATAGTCTCGTATTACACATAAAAAATCTAGTCTCATAATTTCATATACTGTAGAAAATGATAAATCCATTTGTTTATCTAATTTTATTGCATTTCGTTCACAAAGTAAATTATAATAATATGAAATTGCTTGACATACAAAATCTTTATTCATTACACTAAAAAGATCTCTGAATAATTCAGCAACATTTAAATTTAATTCAAATACTCCTCTAATATCTCTTTTTGATATATGAATGTCTATTCTAAATACAATTAATCCTAATAATCTTTGAAGTAACTTTTCTATATTCTCTATTTCTTTAATTTCTTTATCTGCAACTACACAAGATTTAATAAAGCATTGAAAGAAAAAGAATGTTAATTTAAATTTGTTGTATTCTGATTCTTCAAAGTTATTAAAACTATTAATGACATCTACGAGTATTAACTTAGGTAATAATCTGAAATTAGAATTGAGTTCTTTGGGGGAGAAATGATCATTTACATAATCCACTAAAATAAGAGGTCGAATTTCATCTTCAGTGAAGAATTGTTGAAGAATTGGATTAAAATTATACAACTCAACAAACTCAATCATTTCAAACATTCTATCTAAAATAGTATTAAGATATGGTGCTATAACTTTAGCATCCATATTTTTTACAGTTTTAATTGCTTCAATTATTGTTTCTTTATTGTCTGAATTAATAAAAGAATGAATGATATGAAGTCTTGGATAAAATGTAGCTACAGAATTTAATTTTATTACTAATGTTCTTTTAGATGCCCCTTTTCCATTAAAAGCATCATTTAAAAATTTGTCACCACTTCCCTTGTATATTGCAATTCGTTGTTCAATTCCACTATCCATAATACCTCCATTCTTTGAAAATAATGGAATAAATGCAACACTATCAGTATTATCAGACATTCTTATAAAAATGAATAAATTTGTTTGAGGTGGTTTAGGTAATTCTATCCTAATTTCTTTCATAATTGGAATTATTTTATCATTTCCTTTGAAAGAAAATACAATTTTTTTTTCTGGAACAATTGAATAATTTGGAATAAGTAAAGCGTTAAGTGGTTCACCTCCAATAGTTTGTTGCAATGATATTTCAATTGTTCCTGTAATTTTTCGTTCACGTGACAATACCAAGTCAATAAGAGTTAGATATAATGAACTACTGATTGTTGTCTCACTTCTAAATACATGAGATGGTGACATATTTTGAACTCTAAATAATGACTGCTTCTCACTAGTTTTTATTTGACAAGTAACTGTAGATGGTGAATCATTATTATTAAATAATCTACTCCTAGTACTTCTCATTCGTTGATGTTTTCCACTTCTTGGTGTAACACATTCTTGTGTCTCATTATATAACTCTTTAATTTGTGTTGCCTCAATAATTCGAAACTCTGACAATGGATTATTAGTATCAGGTTTATTAATAAGATCCCAACATACACTCCATTTCCCAGGAACTTCATTATTTGGAGTTGTTTTAATAAGTTTAAATATATCTGTTTCTTCTTGTAGTTTAACTGAAAAAAATTTTAAATCAGTTAAATGTGTTTTTTGAGTTATGGACACAATACGAACTGAACCAATTGCAATTTGTTGTAATGACATCATATTAATTGATTCATCTTCTTTCTTTTTAATTTTTTCTATTGCCTCTAGCTGTCGTTTACTTTTTTTAGAATCATTTTCATCAATTCCTTCACTATACAATACTCCAATTAGACTATTCCCATCGTCTTTTCGAAATACTTGAATGACTAAATAATACTCATTCTTTTCTATCTTTTCTAATTCAAATAAAAATAAGTCTTTTCTTAATTCTCCATTTGTAATAAAGGTATAAACATTTTCTGTTTGTTTTTCTCGTGTTTTATAATTATATATTGATAATGAAATAATTAAAGGTTCAAATAATCCAACATTAAATGTAATACTTTCTATATTAATTGATATCATTTGTTTTAGTACATGAGGTTGTTGAGCTATATAAGTATTCATACTATCATTTATTTGTAGTGTTGGATTAAAACATTCAAATAAATGAATTGTTTTAAATTCAAAGGGAATAGGTTGTGAATATGTTGTTAAACGTTGTTTTCTTAATTGAAAGTCTGAACAAATTTCATCAAATTGAGGAGAAGAAAAGTACTCTTGCGGAATATTTTTCTTAAATGATTTTCTTGGTTTAAGTAAATAACATTTATTTCTTTCCAATGACTGAATAAATCTTTTTTGAAAGCCAGTAAATCCTTTAATTTCAATTGGACTATTTTGAACAATTGTTAATTTATAAAGAAATAACGATGCATTAACATGTTGTTCAATTGAAAATGGTTCTAATTGATTCTTTATTATTTCTTCTTTATTTGTTTCTACTAATTTTTTAAAACCACAAAAATTCTTTAGACTAATATGGCATGACTCTTCTCCCATTGTTCTTTCATGAACCAATTCTTTTATTGTCATGTCAGTTACGTCAACACCAAATTCGTTTTTAATAAATTTTTTTATTTCAATTGTATCAAGAAAACCACGTCTTTCAAGGTCATATTTCTATTAGTTAGCTTTTATTATTTTTATTTATGACTGTAATGATACATTATTTAATAAAACATACATTAAATTCTTGCTTCAAACGTACTGTTAATTCTTCAAGATTTTTATTTTTTCGTTTATGATCACTACTCTTTTCTTCATTAATTTTACTGGATGATTTAATGTGTATCTGTTTCATCCTTAGACAAGATAAATTTAGTTAGATCTGAAAATCCTCATACAATCAGATAGAATCTTTATTTATTATCTTTTTTCGTCTCTTTTTTCTTGATTTTTTTATGTCTTTTTTTTTACATCTTTTTGTCTTTTTCTATAATATTTTATTTATTAATATATTTATAATAAATCTAAACTATTTAAAAACTATACTAATAAAAATGATTTTCACAAAAATTTTAGACTTACTTCTTTCTTATGAATAAGTTTATTTTTTTTCTAAAATAAATAAAATAACATAATAAAATCACAAAAAATTGAGTAAACAAAATGACTGTAAGTGATGAAGTATTATTAGTACTCTTCATCTGGATAATAGTGTTTATAGAGTTTCCATACCTCTTCAACATCTAAAACTTCGTCCTTATTTTCATCAAATTGTTCAAAATCAACTTTGAATTCATCAATTGTTTTTTTGAATCCATCATCCATATCTCTAAACATTTCATATGCATCATCAACAGTAATAACATTTTTTCCCATAGCATAAGTCTTAAAAGTTCTTCTAACATCAGCTTTAGAAAGTCCAACCATCTTTTTTAATACTTTAATGATTTTTTAGATTGATTTTTTGAAACTTAAATATAAATAATACCTTCTACACTCTTCTTTACTATTTTTACATTTAATCTTTTTTTTGGATTATTTTAATTTACAGTTTTACTTCTTCAGAAAACTCAAAACTCTAACAAAAAAGAATAACAAAAAGGGTTTATTGTTTTTGAAAAAAAAAAGTTAAAATTTTTTTTAAATCAATTACATGCCAAAGGGAGGGAAAGCAAAAGAATCAAAATCAAAGCAAAATAAAAAGGAAAAAGAAGTAAAGAAGCCTAGTAAAGTTGCACAAACACGTGATGAACTTAGAAAAGAAGCTCAACATATTGATCAAAATGTTGATGCATTAAAACAATTAGGATTAATTGGAAGTGGTGTTGTAGAACCATCTACTGATTTAAAATTATTAACAAAAAGAGAGAAGAAGAAGTTGCAACAAAAAGCAAAGAGAAATAGAGGAACAAAGTTAGACTAAAGAAAAAATTTGATTGATTAATTTCATATTTTTGTTATTCTCGTTTTTGAAACAGGGTTTTTTAGGGTTGAAAAATTGAAATGAAAACTTTATTCAAATTTCTAATACATCTTAAGAAATGAATGTTAAGACTGAAATAAAAGATGAATCAACTAGTAGTAGTGATGATGAATTAGTTGATACTCAATATGACCCAAGTGATATTACTCAATATGATTTAGCAATAAGATGGATTAGTTCTGAAGAGTTTAGTCAAGAAACGTTAACAAAAATACAAAAGATTTTATGTGAGGCATTAGAAGAAAGAATAGATTCTGTTAATATCATTACTGACTTATCACTTTTTCATTCAATTAATACTAAGTCAAATGACATTGTTTTGGTTTTCAAATTTACTGAATCAACTTGTTTTAAACAACTTATTTTAGGTCCAGCACCTACAGACATTGAAGCTGTTGATAAATTTAGATATTATTGGGGTGAGTCTTGTGAATTAAGAAGATTTAGAGATGGAAGACTATTATATGTTGTTCCTTCTGAACGTTTGTGGATGGAAACTTATTCTTGTAATGAATACTTTATTAAATTATTAATAACAAAACATTTTAATGTAAATGAAAATCAACTTGTTTCAAATTTAACTAGTATCACAAGTGCACTTCCTCCTTTTAGTCAATGCCTTGAAGTTATTGAATGTATAAGTGAATTATCAAATTTAATTAAAGACTTAAACTTACCATTATCAGTTAATACAGTTAAATCATTTGGTAGTTATACTCGTTATACTTCATATTCAATTCCTCAAAGAATAAAGGATTATAATAAAATTCATCAATACATGTACATTGATTCTATTCCTTTAATCATTAAATTTGAAGATTCAAATAAATGGCCAGATGAGCTTCATGGTATTAAATTAATGAAATCTGCTTTCAGTATTAAGATTAAAGAATTGTTAAGAGCACAAAGCATTCTTGGAAAGGTATTTCCAAATAGATTTGAATTGTACTATAAAGGATATATATTTAACATTTTATTTGATGTTCCACAAGGGCTTGCTTTATTAAGAATGGGTACTGGAGATGGTGTGGAAGATTATATAAATAAGTATCAAAGAATTCCATTAACATCTATCTGGATGAGTCAATATCCAGGTAAATACCCTGCATTAACTCAAAGTTCTCGTCTCTTAAAAAAATGGTTCAGTTCTCGAATGTTTTCAAATTATTTTAATGATGATTTGATTGACGCTATGACAATTCATTTTTTCCTTAATGAACCAATTCATTCTCCTCAGAAATTCTTCTTAACTTTTATTGAAACTCTTGCTACTAATGACTCTTATCCCATTTATTTTGGTGATAGTTTTGATGTAGAATCTTCTCATGGTATAGTCTTCAACTTCGAAGATCAGCCAGAAGTGTCTAAATATCTAAATTCTATTGCACCTTCTATCAGAGTAGTAAAATATCTTTGTGGAGTTGCTAAACAATGTTGGAAATTGTTAGATTCTAATTTCTGTCTGAAAACTGGAGCTAAATTTAATAAGGCATTATTTTCTGCTCATTTACCAAAAGGAGGAATACAAATCATTTTAGATAAGTTGTTATTGACCAAACAAAATGTTAATTATAATGAAGCATGTACCTCAAATACTCTCAGTTTATTAATGAAAGAAGTTGCTGTTATTGATTTTGACCCATTAAAAATTTTCACAAATGAATTAAATAGATATTTTGGAAATGACACTTTACTCTTTGTTGATCTTTTAGAAGGTAGTACTATTGTTTTAATGTTTAACCCATCAACTACACTTGGCAAGGTTATTACTGAAAAGAATGAATCTTGTGAGTTGAGTACATTACTTCCAAAAGAGAGTATTATGACTTATGGAGAATTAAAAAAAGTAATCAAATTGATGGGAGGTTCTTTGGTAAAAGACGTAACAATACTTTAAATGATTTGATTGATTATTTATAGAAAATTCTATTTTTTGTTCCAATAAAATATATGATAGTGATAATATTATTTAGTAAATAAAAGAAAAGCGAATTAAGTATTTATAGAGTTGGTTTCTATTATCCTTGAGTCAGCAGAGACTAGTCTCATCAATGATTAGTTTTCTAGTAATTCTACATCGTATGTTTACTTGTGATTGAATCAATGCCCTATGTTATTTTTCATGTTTTTAATAACAGCATTTTTATTTCTTTAATATTGTCAATTTCATTTTGAATTTGTTTGATATAAAAGCGAACATGAAGTAATAACACAAAGTAGAATTGATA